AAGAGTTCTTTGCAAGTTGGTCAACTTTATTATTTAATGTGTTTCTGAATATACTTTAACTTTACGGAGGCATATGTTGAAGTACTATGATTTGATAACTTCAAAGAGGCTCAGTTATATCAAAAAATTATTAATCTTGAACAGGAGTCTGGTGATCAAAGAAAGACACAAAATTCTTTTAAAATTGTGGAATTGCCTAATCATAACTTGTGAATCTATTATGATGATAATATGACAATTTCATGGGATTACAAGAATAGCAATAAAAATTGCTACTAGCTTCACTACTGATGATAAGGAGAATATAGTAACTAATGTAGATAAAAAAAAGACTAAAAGTGAACATAAATTAGTTTGTAATCAAGCTATACCCATTCTTATAGAAGGAGTATCCAAACTCGTAAGAGAACTGTCTATATAAAATTCTAAATATGTGGTAGCAGAAAATTATTGCAAAAGAGTTAGTAGAACATGACTATGTAGTAACATAATAAACTTTAATATTAATGTAAAAGATGCAGGGTGGCGAAAATCAATCAGAGGTAATTAGGAAAAACTATTATAAGAACAGTTAAAAATATGGGACATAATATCCTTCATAAGTATTAATGACTATGCATTGACGTGTTATTTTCAGATATCCTTGAGTATTATTTTCACACAGAAGCTGAGAGACGTGATCACTAAGCAATTGTATTTCTTAAGATTAGAAGAGTTACTCTTAAATAATGTAAGCCTATTGAGTGAACACCCGTCATATTGATGCAGAATTGTCTTAGTAGAGTAGGTATACATATAATAGATGATATCAGCAAAACTGCCTGCTATCTTTAGAACATGATCTATTATCATTGTATTAGCATTACAGTTCCAATATGTGACGAATGAGTGGACTGTTATTTCATCTTATAGGATAATGTCAGGAATCCATAAGTAGTACTTTGTCAGTATGTTATAGTTACGCTCTTAACCTTGAGGTACCATTTTGGAGACAGTTCTTTTCTAGAGATTGATGATAGATATCTCAGATCTTTGATAGTATATAATGACCTTCTATTTCAGCTAACTAATTATTTCACAAATATTAAGGAATATTTGGACAAGAAGAGAGCTGATTTCTTGTATTTGGATTCAGTGATCTATAATGTATCATTTATATATACTAATACTGATGTTTTGCATGATTATTCTTTAAAGAAATTGAGGCGTACATTAGGTTTCCATTTTGCTGACATATTATAGCCTAGGTCAGAGTTTTGCACCTTATATAAGAGAGGTTGTAATAAATATATCACAGAAGTAGTGATATAATTTTACCTTGATTAATACCTGAGAAAATCTTATATGTATCTGTGATCCTATAAAAGGTAAAAACTTAGTTTTTCCTGTACACAAATATATTTAGGATGAAGAAAATAAATTTTTTAGAAAGCTTTAAACGTTTTAGCATTCTAATCATCATAAAAATATTGATACAGTCGTAAACTTTTGACATATCTTGTAGAAGGATTCACAATTCTTTTTTGTTAGAAAGGGCATCATTTTTTATATTATCTAGAATGTACAAGGGTTTAAAAGTGAAATGGAAAAGAAGTCTTGCGAAATTATATTCTTTAAGAATATTGTGTTAAATAAAGACAGTTAAGAGTCATATATTAATAAGTTTTATAAGGGCTTTTCTTAGGTATTTCAATAAAGTGATCAACCTCATATTATTTAGATTAAATTTCTAAGGTTTAAATTTCAAAATCACATAAACATACGCTAAATTCCATCGATGTGAAAGTGTTAAAATTGACAAATAACCACATATTATATACCAAAAAATCTTTTTAGCTAAGGGTCTAGGTATTTAAGCATTTCATTTGAGATCTTGAATAGGTCAGATACTCTACTATCAGTGAGGGAATTAATAATAGAATACCATTCTTCAGCTAAGGGTGGTGATATCAGATTATTGTATATATCAGAATCAATATCTTCGAGTGGGCTGTATGAAAGGAACCATTCATCAGAGATGCTTTTCAATTTGTGTGTAATACCTGCCGCTCTTTAGAAATGGTCATTAACTATTTGTTAAACTAAGTGTTCATCTGTAAGAAGTTCTTAAGCGTTTCTTGAAAAACATCTTTCTAGTATGATTGTCTTTCTTGTACAGTTTAATGTTGAATCAAATATATTTTAGGATTATTAGCATATGCATATAAGTATTGATCTAGATGTTTTTGTATAAAGACAAGTTTGTGTTCATTCTCATGAAGTTTGGTCTTGTATAAAAAGACTTTGAGTAAAAAAACTGTATTTGAGAGGAGGAGTTCAACAAAATTAAATAGATAATCTTGATAAGAGTACACAGTGGTAAATGCGAGTGAATTAACAATGTTGCAAAAATCATCATACATTTATATTCAATTTACAGAAAATGATTTGCCTTATTTGACTTTGAGAAGTAACTTTTTAAATTTATATAAGATTTATTGATATGAGTATAATTTTTTTGAGGCCAGGTGACCTTGGATACTTAAATTGTCCTAACAATTTTCTGAATGGTATGCATTTTTTAGCTGCTTTAATCAAAAGATCTTGAAAGAAATCCCAGTGTTTATTGAGCAAGAAGTATGTCTAATACATTTTCTGATTGATTATTTTAGTTAGACTACTATTTAATAGCATATTAAGTTTGTTTCTGAATTTTCTCCATAGGTTTTCATTCATTTTATTGAAATCAAAACTAATTTTTTGGGTATTTTGCATTTGTTAATTTTGATATTTAAGAAATTCATAATTGTAGTAATGGCTATATGATGATTCAATATATTCATTTCAGGTGCAACTGTATGACAATCTGAAATATTAAGAGAGATTTTGGTGAAGGTCTAAATGTAATCTATTCTAGAAGAGACTTGGCTTAAAAATAAGTGGGAAAGTCAATTCTATTTCAATCGTGTTTGATTGTAAAAGTATCAAAAAGTGACAGTCTATAAAAATTATCGAAAAGTTTTAGGCTATTTGTGAGATTATGTATTCTATCCATATTAGTATTGAAGTCTTCTAGGATGATCAAGTGAAAATTGTTGATAGTGACTTCTTTGATCCATTTGTTAAGAACCAATTAGATTTCTTTTCTCATTTTAAGGTCAGCTGACGGTAAATAGCAATTTATAATATGAAGTTTTTGTTTATTTGCGAATTATAAATCAATATAGATGACTCGATCAAGTTTAGTATCATGTTTATAAATGTAATGAGCAATCTTTTTGTTAAGTATTATCCTCACACAGAATGTGATATGTTGTTTTGAAATTAAACTAAAAAATTATATAAAGGAAGAATGTGATAGATTTAAAAATTTTTTCATGTTGGGGTTTAAAGTTAGTTTCTTGAAGATCAATAACATTTAAATTATACAAAGAATATAATGATAAAAGTTATTATTGTTTGGCAATGTTAGTGAAAGATTGAACGTTATGAGTTATGAAGGAAAGTTTTAGTATATTAATAGAGGTCATTTTGGAGTTATCATTTGGTAAGAAAATTTAATGTTAATATCTGTAGAGATAGGAATCATAAAATATATTTTTAAAATTGAAGAAGACTCTTCAGAGCCTTTTCTGCTTTCATATTATAATTAGTGTTAAGGTATATGATGTTAGTATTTTGTCAATTTGAAGTAAGTCATTATGAATGAGAACTGTACAAAATGTATTGTAAGTATTAACTAAGGTGTTGACTGTTTCAGTGAAATTCTTAAGGTGTAGGTTTTGTGCGTCTATAATCTCTGTGAGAGCTATAATAGTTTATTATTATTTACTAATAATTGACGTGAAAGTATCAACAACTAGGTCATTTTTGTATTATTCTATGTGATAATCAGCTATTGTTTCTTTATCAGAAAAGCTAACCTTAATATTGAATGTTTATTCAATTATCTCTATTCATTTCATAGTATAACTCAAGGTAAGCATGAGATCATCAAGTTTCTGGATAAGTTATAAAAAACTAGCTTTGATAAAGTCTTTAAAATCACTATCCGTGTTTTTCTCATGCATAAAGCCTCCTGCTTTCATTTCTGCAAAGATATCATGTAATTTGTGTTATTGCTGATGAAGTTGATTACTTTATTGTTCTATATTCAGGAGAATGTTATCACTCCAATCTGGTGATGGAGTAGATAATTATTTTGGAGGACTATTTTTTGTATTTTTTAGCAAAAATTGTGAATCTGTAGGCTTACTAATCAATTTGGTTAGTTTCTGTAAACCATCTGTAATGATGTTAGTAAAAGTGATATTAGGATTAATGGCTCCTTTACGAGGATGAACTGGAGCTTTATAGTTGTTATATTGTGCCAGTTGAAATCTTTAATATAAATGTTAGATGCTTTTATCTTAAGGAGTGTGATGTTTTTTTAGGTAATCTTTGATTTTGTGATGTAATGAGAAACAAATAGCATATAATTTAACTTTGATCTCTGTCTATTCTACGTATTTGACATTGATGGTAAGATTGTCATTACTGATCCTGCTTCATAATCATTAGCTGAAAGAAAATAGAAGAATATATATTGTAGATTATGATAATTGGATCTGATTTTAAGAATAATCTAGACCATTATATTAACCATCAAAGATAAGTCTGTACCCGTGATATAATAAGAAAGACATGTAAGTTTGGCTGAGAATTTAGATCATTCCAAGATTTTGTCACGTGGTAAATCACATATATAGAAACAAACTATGTCATTGAGAAGGAAGACATCATAACTTTTCTTATTATCAGAAGTTCTTTGTTTTTATGTTGAATCTGACGATCTTGCTGAATCAGGAAAAAATTTTTTTGATATACAATTCTGTAGCGTCCAATGATATTTCAGTAACTTTAATTGATTATTGTAAAACAAATAGATGAATTAGCATGATTTCAAGGGGTAAAAGTGTGTGAATTTTTCAAATTAAGCAAGATAACTTTGCAAAATATGTTCCTTTTATCCTTATCAGAAAATGTCACCTTTAAGATTTTCTTTAGTTGGTCCTTTGGATGTTTAGTAAGCATAATACCCAAAAATAAGTTAAACTGATCGAAAATAAGGTCAGTGATATTAGAGATTTTTGTTGAGAGATTTTCCAGGGTAATTGTCTGCTGAAAAAAATGCGAAAAATTCATTTTTTTAATAAAAATTTCTTGAAGGCTTTTTTTGTTAGTCAAAAAATTTTCTGAGACGTCATTAGTATCATTGATGTTTATGAGTGCTTGGTCAGAAGTGATAAATAGAGTTGTTTTACCTGTCAAAACTTTTTTGCCCTTTCCTTTGTCAAGCAAAAGAGGGTTGACGTCCATAATAACTGGAGTTTCTTTGTTATTGTTGTTGATGAAGACACTACTTTCAGGTTCAGTAGTTTGTAAAGTATTCTGTCTTTTACTTGGTTATTGCTCTGGAGTATCAGGATGAGAGTAAGGTTGTTATTTTTGTTAGTTTTTATTGTTTTCTTTCTTTGGTCTACTTATGTTGCATTGCAAAAAAAGTTTTTTAAAAAAAAATTGGATTTTATAAAAACAATTAATTTATAAAATTAAAATATTTTATTAGTGAATAGGATCATGTGTAATATAAATTATATAATTGATGATATTAAGTTTGATTTTCGTATATAATTTATACTTTAATTATAAGCTAACTTATAATATATGGTCAAGAATCAATTAATTAAACAAATAGATAAATTTTAAATCTCAGCTTCTTCAGTTAATTTGATCTATTTTGAATCTATAAATTATCAAGATTTTATTTTATAAAATAAATATTATAAATGTCAAGATAAGTGTATATCTTTTACTTCAATCTTATTAGTTTTATTTTTGACATTTAAACTAAAATCAAAATGTTCAACAAACTATGATTATAATAGTGATTTCTATAAAAATTTTATCATCTTTTAGTGTTAAATCTAAAAATTAAACAATTAAAATAATTTTTTACTTATAATTATATAGATAATAAAGAATAATACTTTAATATTAGATTTCTGAAATATTAGATGAAACTAAATAATGATATAATTGTTTTATAATTAAATCATTAAATTTTATAGTATGGTAAAAAAGATAAAAAATTTTCTGATTATACATTGTATATTTTTTAAGAAGTATTAAGTAATTTAAAAGTAAATCAATATATTTATATTAAATTTACTTAGAATTTAGAAAATATTTGTTTATTTTTTAATTTACTTATTAACTTAAATTAATCATAGTTAAAGTTACTTATTTAAACTCATTTTAGATTTAGTAAAACATCTAAATTCTTATAGTTTTGCTAATTTTTTATTAAAATTTTAATATGATTTTACTATTTTATAAGTTTAATATAATTTTATCTTTTTTTAAGTTTTGTAAATTTTTTAATAAAATTTTAAATATAATTTTATCAAATTTTATTTTTTACTATTTTAGATAATTTGTAAAACTTTTAATTTATTTAAAATTTTAACAAATGTTAAATATGTCACATGTGATTATAACAAATAATATTTATATTAATATCAATCAGTTAATTGATATATTTTTATATATTTTTTTACCACTTTTTTATTTTATATATAAATACAATTAAGCAATATTACTAATACAGTTACCACTGGTTATACTGAACCTGTATATACCAAAAACTCATTATACTGAACCAAAATTTTCAGAACTAAATTTTTATAGTAAATTCACTGAATATAATAAACTTTATTATAAAAATGCTATATATCGTATACTGAACTCATACTAAAAGCTGGAGTATATTAGCCATATATCTTCTATACCAAATAGTCATGTAATTTGAAATTAAAAATTATGCAGATGGATAATCTTTTTTTAATCTTATCTTTATCTATTTGTTTTACAATATCAAAAAAAGAACTATTCTTTTTACAGAACAAAAACGTGAACTTTGTGAAATAAATGAGAAGGAACTAACCATTTCTAATGTTGACCTTGCACAAAAATATAATATCAGAAAATCTACAATTACTGATATTTTAAATGAAAAGGATCATTGGCTTGCAATTTTAAGAGACCAAAGAAAAATTAAAAAATTTCGCAGTCTAAAATGGCCTCAACTTAAAGATGTACTTAGTCTTTAAGTTGATAATGCACTTAATACAAAACAAAATATTAATGGTAATATCTTAAAAACTAAAGCAAGTTATTTTGCTAGACAATTTTTTATAAAAAATTTTTACCAGTCAGAAGGATGGTTAGGTAAGTTTAAAAAATAACATGGATTATATCAGTTTAAGAAGCAGGGTGAAGCTTCAAGTGCACCTTCTGCTAAATCATTAGAAAATAACCGCCTTACCTTACAACAATTTCTTGAACCTTATAATCTCGAAGATATTTGGAATGGTGATGAAACTGGTCTCTTTGAAAGATGGAATCATCTAGAGTTTTAACGCATGGTCCTTTATCTGATCATAAAAAAGAAAATCCTGAGTTACTATATTTTGTATAACAAATACAACTGGAATTGAAAAAATGATTCTCATCTTTATTCATAAATATAAAACTCCTTGCAGTATGAGAAATATCAATTACAAAAACCTTTCTGTTCATTATTTTTAGAATAAGAAATCTTGGTTGCAAGTTAGTATTTTTAATGAGATTCTTCTTAAACTTAATGAAAAAATAAAGTAAAGAAGATGTAAAATTGTTTTTTTACTTGATAATGTGCCAGTACATCTTATTTTAGATGAAACTCAAGAAAAATTAGATAGCATTGTGTTGAAGTTTCTTCCACCAAATACTACTACCGCTCTTCAACTATGTAATGCAGGAATCATTTACTCATTTAAATATTACTACAAACGCCTTTTTGTTCAAAATCGAATTGATATATATGATAATATATAAGAAGGTATCGTAAGAGAACTTTCAGATTATAGTATCCTTGACGCTTTACAAAATTCAGCTGAAGCATGATTTATGGTATCATCTCAAATAATCTCAAACTGCTGAAGAAAAATAGGAATTCTTTTACCAAACAATAAAATTGAAGATGTACTTGATGATAATTTAATTTTAGATGAGTATGTATTAATTATTAAACATAAATATCAAATGCAAATGGTTTTTAATAAATATTTTTTTTTAGTTTTAACAAAGATGAAGAGGAACTTGAAAGGTTAATTACTCTACTTCCAGAAGGTAATCTTAATGCATGAGAATATATTCATATTGAAGATGAAATTGCAGAGGGTAGGCTTACTAATAATGAAATAGTTGATATTATATTAAATGCAAATAAGAAAAAGGAAGAGGAACTCATGGAAGATGAAATTGAAATTACACCTATATTAGAAAAAGTTAGTTTAGTAGAAACAAAAAAAGCTATATATAAAATTATAAGATTTTTATACGAGCAGGAGGTAGAATTTGGTGAAGTAAATGATGAATTAAAATTTTAAAAAGGTTAGATAAACGAATTAAAATTCTAGTTATAAATAATCTTAAACAAGTCAATATTCAAGATTATTTTGATAACATGTAATGTAGTTAAATAGTTTTAAGTGTTTTAATTTTTATTAATATAATATAATTATAACTATTAATATAATAGTAATAAAGAGATTTTAATTTTTTGTATTCATAAAAAAATTTTAAATGATTACGTGTTCGCAATTTTATTAGCTAATATTTTATACTAAACTGTTCGGTATATAATATAAATATTATATATTGAACCTACTATATACTGAACTAAAACTTCCGGAACAGAGAGTTTGGTATAACCAGTGGTGACTTTATAAACATTTTTATAAGTTTTAAAAGTTAAACAATTTAATAGTTTTAAAAAATTTTTTTCAAATATATTATCTATTATATACCAATTTTAATATTTAAAATAATTTTAATATAAAAATATATTGAACTGAAAATTTTTTTAGTTTTAAAAAGCTTTTCCTTTATTATTTAAAAAATATAATACTAAAATAAAATTTTTTATTATAGTTATTTTATATTTTATTATTCCTTAAATTGTAAAGCAAGCAAATTTACCTACGAACATAAAAAAAAAGTATTAATTTTTTAATAAAAAATAAAATATTAATATTAAAAATATAATTATTATATAAAAAATATAGTTTAA